GCCCCTCGCCAGCCCCGCCTCGCGGCCTGACTCGGCCTCTCCTCCCCGTGCGTCCCCAGCTCGCGCCGCGGCCGGCGGCCGGTCCCGCCCCCGGCACCATGCTGCCCTCGCAGGAGGCCTCCAAGCTCTACCACGAGCACTACATGCGGAACTCGCGGGCCATCGGCGTGCTGTGGGCCATCTTTACCATCTGCTTCGCCATCATCAACGTGGTGGTCTTCATCCAGCCCTACTGGGTGGGCGACAGCGTGAGCACCCCCAAGCCTGGCTACTTCGGCCTCTTCCACTACTGCGTGGGCAGCGGGCTGGCGGGCCGTGAGCTCACCTGCCGGGGCTCCTTCACCGACTTCAGCACCATCCCGTCCGGAGCCTTCAAGGCGGCCGCCTTCTTCGTGCTGCTCTCCATGGTGCTGATCCTCGGCTGCATCACCTGCTTTGCGCTCTTCTTCTTCTGCAACACCGCCACGGTCTACAAGATCTGTGCTTGGATGCAGCTCTTGGCAGGTGAGGGTGGCCTGGGCGGGGGGTTCTTCCTAGAGGAGGGAGGGGAAGTGCTGCTCCTCGGAGCTAAGACACTCACTTCTCTGGTGACCCTCATCAGTTCCTCGGAGGTTCCATGAGAATACTTTGGAGCTGGGCAGAGCCTTAGAATTGGGTATGGGGGCCCGTGTGTACACAGCATTTGCTGGTGGGTTAGCGCTATGTTAGCACCTACACGGGTCTCTGCTGACCATGTTTGTGGAAATGTGTTGTGAATGAGAGGTAACTAGGCATAATTAATTTCTGTTACATAGGAAAAAGCATGGGAATCGAGGCCTGGCTTGCATCTTTAACTCGCTGACATTGTCAACTTGGGTGTTTCAATTTACTTCTCTAAGGTTTAGTTTCATCGTCAGTAAAACGGGATTACAGAGGACAAAGGAAAGAAGATCTAGTAAACTTTCAAGTCTTGTAATGGGGGGGGTGTCTATTTAAGATTAGGTGGTTGGTAGCCCCTGGTAATGGGGGCTTTTGAGGGCAGGTCTCCACCCTTTTACCCCTCCCCCACATGCAAGGATTCTGATGCCATGCCTGATGTGCATGGGTCCCTAAAACCTTCTGAAATGTCCAGCCTCGGCAGTCTTCCTGCTCTGAGATTCAGTGAAAGGCCATTGGGAGTGAGAAATGCTGAGGCAGGTTTCCAGGATCCATTAGAGTCCCCTGCCCCCACCTACCATTCCATCAGAGACAGATTTTGAGGACTCAGCAACTTGGGCATTGGCTAGTTGTAGTCAGGGAAAGGAGTTGGACTGGGAAAGTGAGGCCATGGGATGGCAAGATGGTGAAGGGTAGGAGAAAGTGTGGAGCATTCCAGGGATGGGAAAGAGGAAAAAATGTGACAGTCAGGCATTAGAGGAGTCTTTTGCAGTCAGTACCTCAGAAAATTCCAAAAGTGTAGAGCTCTCCAAAAGAGACCCCTGGAGGAGGCACTACATCACTTGTTGGCCATTCCACTACTCAGAGCATTGCAAGGAGCTGGCTCTGCAGCACCCCCATTGAGGAGAAATCTCCATTTTTGGAAATGATGGGATGGTACATTGGGCCAAGTGTCACAAATATGGGCAATCAAACCAAGAACTGTCACTTATGATGAAAGCCAAGATGTGAAGTCAAGGTAACGAGCCTGGTGTGCTCATCCAACGGGACTACTACACATGTCAAAGGAGTCACTGCCCCACTGAAAGAAGGACTCAGACTCCTGGAAGGATTTCCTCAAGAGGGTAGCATGGGTGCATATGTGGACGTGCTCTGGCATGTTGCAAATCCATCTCACCCCACTTCGCTTCTGCATGGATTTTTGAGCTTCTTTGAGGGGAGGAGGATTGTAGGATTTGAGGGATATCTCTCTCCACCTCTCTCTGTGGTATCCAGAGAAGTGATAGTGTGTGTTTCCATTCTGTTTTTCATCCAAAGTCAAGCTGTGAAAATACTCTCAGCTAGAGTCTCCAGTTCATCAGCCTCAGTTTGGAGTCTGCAGATGGGTTGCTGACCTCTTGACCTTCAAATTCTCCGTAATCCCTGTGGATTTAATCTTAGGGATTTGATGAAATGTCCAGTAACTCCCATGTAATCATGGAATTTCAGAGACTTTAATCATCCACTCCTTTCAGTTCAGTCTTCCCCTCGTCCTACTGCGAGAGAGGAACCTGAGTGCACAGAGTGAAGGCTCAGTGAACCTCACACAGCCAGCAATGTGTAGAACTGAATTGAAGGCCCCAGGTTTCCTAACTTCAGTCTGGAGCACTTTCCCTTGAGTTACTTCCCCTACCCTGAAGGTTGAGAGGCAGATGGACAGTTTATTTTGTTTAGAGATCTCTGAGTTCTCTGGCGTAGTGTCTGACTTACTTTGCTTACCAAGTGGCACAGGACAGGGTTAGGGCACTAAGGTGGAAATCACTGCTCATTCCTCCCCTGTCTCACCATACAGTGGTGAGTCTTTTTAGTTAAAATCTGTTTTCCTGTCTGTATAGTGGGGGTCTCGGGTTGGACTAGTTGACCGGAAGTGCCCTTTTCAGCCTTGTGCACTCCTCACACCATTCTTTGCCCAAGCCCATTCCATGAGAAAGTGAGTGCCGTCTTCCAAGGAACTGCAGAGAAGCAAAGGACTTCGTGTGTGTCTTGTGAGAATTCTAATGCCTGCCATGTTCTTGTTTCTGTGAACTTTTATTTAGGGATTTGAGTGCAGAATACTGAAGCATTGGGAAAATACAGAGATGTTATTTTCTTTCTTTATTCCTCACTGTTTGGTGGTCATCCCAATGGTGGACACTGTGGTTCTGACATACAGAAGATAAACTGACCATCTAGCTGGGTCACTGTGTTGATCAGCAGTCTTCCAGTGACAAGTAGGAAACTCAGTGTAAACTGGCTTACATAAATAAAAATAAAATACAAGATAGAGTGTTTTGATTCGTATAATTTGAAGGCCCAGTGTGAGGCCACAGGCATGGATAGATCCAAATGCTCAAATAATGTCATTAAGAATCTGTCTGGCTCTGTTTTTTTTTTTTTTTTCCTCCGGTACCGGGAACCGAACTCACGACGTTGTGCTTGCCAGGCAGGCGCTTTTGCCCCTGAGCTAAATCCCCAGCCCCCTGGCTCTGTTTTTGATTCCTCTTGTTCACTCATGTTAAGTACACTTCCTTCTTTTTTTTGTTTTTTCTTCCGGTACCAGGAATCCAACTCATGACCTTGCGCGTGCCAGGCGGGCGCTGTGCCGCTGAGCTAAATTCCCAGCCCCAGTCCACTTCCTTCTTGATGGTGACAAGAAACTGGCATCTCTGGACTTACATTGCTTTGGCTTAGCAGTGCCTGTGGAAAAAGTATGATTCCAGTGAAGTTGGACTGTTGGCCAGCATTTGCCAAATGCCCACTTTTTTCTTTTTTGTACTAGGGATTGAGCTCATGGCCTCCGTATTGAGCTGCATCCCCAGTACTTTTTGCTTGTTGAGACAGGTTTTCATTCAGTTGCCCCAGCAGGACTCAAACTTGTTATCCTCAGCCCTCAACCTTGGAGTGCTGGGATTACAGGTATACAAAATTGCACCCAGCTGCCCAGGGTCTACCCTCAGTATGTCATGGTGATGTAGTCTAAGATCTGAGCCAGATGCCCTTCTCCAGTAGTGGAGAAAGGTCACTTCCCACAGAGGTACATCATAGGTGATGACTGGAAGAGGGGCACTGTGGTGAGGAAAGTGCAGTGCTACACCTGTTGAAGTTCTGTGGAAGTTGAGAGCAACAGAGGACTGCAGCTTGGGGGAAATGAGGCAGTGCTGACAGATGTGAGGTGTGGGAGGGTGTCCTGAATGGAGTGGGTGGGGAAGGAGAGGGGAGGAGGCCACCTTGGGCTTGAGTGTAAGATCCACGTAGGGGAGCAGCAGGGTAAGACAGGAAGGGATGAGAAGGAATAATAACAGCCAAGTGTGCTGGACCAAGGAGTTTGGACTTCAATCCACAGGCAGTCAGAAACTACTATAGCTATTACTATTACCCAAGAGAAGTGATTAGTATTCTGAGCCCTTACTACATGCTAAACATTTGACATGCAGAATGTCATTTAATCCTTACAAGAATGCCATGGAGTAGGTAGCATTATTCATATTTTATAGATGAGAAAACTAAGGCTCATTTGTCCAGGCTCACATGGGTGTGAATAGTGGAGCCAGGATCATGGCTCAGTCTGCCAGATCCAAAGCCCAAGTTTTCGATTCAGCCAGGGCTGATGGGGAAGACATTCCTGCCAGGATGCTGAGTGGAGGTGGGAACTGCTGGGAGCTGTCTAGAGTGGGGCTCAGCTTCTCAGGGCTCCTCAGGACATCTCAGTAATTCTCCCACCTGGTTGCTCATGTTTACTGCGGGCACACAGGGTGCCAGCTTCCATGCCTTGCTCCGGGGGTCACAGATCCCTTAGAGGGTGGAGCTGACACTCAGGGCAAGTCGACATGGCTCTGGAACCCGTTCCTGCCTCTGAATTCACCAGAACCTGGAAGTGAATTCACGACAGGTTGTGGCTGAAGCTCCATGTGTGAGTACAGGTGGGCTGGCGAGGTCAGCAAGGGCAGGTCCCACTTGGGTGCAGTGTGGGTGACAGTGTGAGTCTCAGAGCCTCTGCTCTGCCACTTCTCCACTGTGTGACCTTGTATCGGTGTGCCTGCCTCTCTGAATGTTTCCTCATCTGTGGAATCATTGAAAGCTCTAAAAGGCTCAGCATCACTGGCCTACAGTAACTTAGAGCACATCCACATTCTTCTCCGTTTTCTTAGGTCTTGTTTCAGATTGGATTTGGGATTTTGTTTATCCAGTAATGCTTTGTTGTATGTATATGACCTGCTAAGCACACCAAGGACATTTCTTTTCTCTTTTTTCTTCTTCTCTCCCTTATTTTCTCAGCTCCTTCCTTCCCACTCCCTCCCTCCCTCCCTTCCTTTTCCTTTCCTGCCTCCCTGCGGTTTTGCTTCCTCTCTCTCTCCATGAGCTCCTTCCTTCTTTCGCGTGGCAGCCTTTCCCCGAAGGTCTTCCAGTGTGTCAGGCCCTGTGCCCAGCTCTGGGAATGTTGAGTATGAGTGCCTACTGCCAGGGGCTTCTGATGGGAGAGGCAGACAGAAAGCAGATCACTGGATGCTGAGAGTCAGGAAGTGCCTGAGACAGGAAATGCTCTGGGATATAGAGGAGATTCTAACACAGTTAAGGGCAACCATGGGGGTCTTCTCAAAAGGGCAACAGAATTTGAGCTGAACCCTCTATTTTTATTTTTGGTGGCACTGGCAGTTGAGCTCAGGACCTTTGCACCATGCTATACCCTCAGCCTTCCTTCTGCTTTATTTATTTATTTATTTAATTTATTGACTCGTGGTCTTGCAAGTTGTCCAGGCTGGGCTTGAACTTGTGCTTCTGCCTCAGCCTCCCAGTGCTGGGATTACACATGTGTGCCCCCACACATGGCTTGGATAATGCTTTTTACATGA